ATATATATATATATACAGAATGATTTAGCCATAATTTCCTAATTAAAAAAGAAAATGAAAAGCATAAATTACGACAGCATGGCAAATGAGCTTCGAAAATGTGCCGCAGTCATTAAGCAAGTGGGCCACGATAACTTGGTGATATTTTTAATAAAGACTCTATTCCGAGCAAAGGTACCAGAAAAAGAAGACCAGCTCTCACAAAGAAGAGACCGTCTCCACGACATCTTTTCGCCGTATCCATCAAGCAAGCAGGTTATGTAGACAGGAACTTATTTTTAGCAAAGACCATTCTAGATAGAAACACGGGGAGGAGACTAGCACTCGAGTAGCACGGGCATCAGGGAAAGGGAACTCCCTTTATCAAAGCATGCAGCGCCACTGCTTAAATTTATAGTAGTAAACAGCGTCACAAAATTTTTGTATTATCATGTAAATGCAGCCGGATGAAGTTAGAATAACGTCAAATGAATGCGAAAGAAAGTAATCACACAATTGAGAACCACTTTTGCTTCTGGGTTTAAGGCACTGCAATTTTATGCAAATGTGTTTCGTCTAATTTCTCGTAATTCCCAGTATTCTGTAAGTTAGCCATCCTAAAACTTCGCCGGATTGTTTCAGTAGATGGGATATTTAGTGTGAAGGTTACGCTACGAAGGGCCTACTTTCAGCAGTAAGTCCCTTGCTCTTTTATATTGAAATTTTATCGGGTTGAACTATCAGACTTTTTTGGCGTCACATTCGGCTCTGAGGGTGTTCGGCGATTTGCCTTCGGTTGTCGTTCGTGCTTGACGCTCGACTCCACACGGGCTGCTTTCCGGTGGAGTAATTTTTTCCCGCGAATGACTTTGATAATATTTTTGTCTTTCAAAAGCAGTTCCTTCATTTCTTCCGGCGTCCGCTGATCCTTTAGTTTATATTCATCCACCGCTTGCTGAATGTACTCATTCTTATTCCCGTCTTGCGTACCGACGATTCGTTGATAATCCGCCGTAGTGTTAGGCGCGTAAGCCACTTCGTTGCCAGGAGCTCTCTGCAAAACAAGAGTGGGCAATGTTATCAGTTCCGTACAATACATACTCTACAGTGTAATTTAAAGTTCAAAAAGCCACGGAGTAAATGAAAATAGCAACAGC